CACGAGCGGGATTCGAACCCACGATCTTCGGCTAGATACGCCGCTGCTCTACCACTTGAGCTATCGTGATTTCGATCCACTCGGACACCAACTTCCCATCTCAACCCCACCTTTTGAGTTTTCCCTCCTTTTTGCCATTTTTCAAATGTCGTGTAATCGGATTGGATTCTCGGCGACAAAGAAAATGGCCACGGAGAGCTTTAGTGAAGTATACTTCATTTTTATTCGTTAAATTCATTAAATTCGTGGTCCGCTTGACCAATTAATACATTAAAATTAATAAGGTTTTTAGTTGAGATAAAATCCGTGGCCGTTTCATTTGTCGCCGAGAATCCAATCCGATTACACGACATTTGACAAATAGCAAAAAGGAGGGTCACACCCATTTAACAAATTAAATTATAAATTTAAAGTAATAATAATTTAATTACTTTCTAAAAGGGCTAAAAAGCTCTCTCTCACACCCACACACTCTCTCTCTTTCCCTCCTTTATTTTTTCTGAAACAGTTTCTTAACAATATTTCCAGGCACGTATGCCATTTTTCTCTTTCTCTCAGTAACTCTATGAGAAATCAAAATAAGTTTATTTTGGAGCGATTTATATGTATTTAAGCATATATTATGTAGACCATGGATAAATGTGATAAACTGATAAGCATTGTCTGTAATATTGATATCTTCATCCCTTCATTCGAAATTTGAAATGGAGGTTAAGAGAGTAGTAAATTGTTGTTTATTTAATTATAGGACGAGTCGATTTAGATATAACTGAATTAGAAAATCCGAGTTTAAAGCCGGTTTAAAACGATTCCAACTGGATAGAATTCGATTGCATCCGGATCGGCTCGGTGCGGTGAACACGGGCGGATTAAAGGGACGGACTATCCCGTCTAATGCGCACCTGGCAATGACCGCACTGGGCAGCGAAAGCCCTTAGAGTAAATTGAAGGGATCCGAAACGGAGAACGGATAAATTCACCGACTCGTACCTCTTGAATTATGCAACCGTGATGGAATCGCGGACGAGGTGAACATAAAGTCGAGGCTGATAAGACAGAAACCGAGGATTAAGGATTTAATATAGCCGCCAGTTCTAATCCGTCACGTAACACCGGCGAAGCGGCACGTCCAAATTAAACTTGTTTTCCAACAATCAGTGCTTTAATAGTGTTGCCACGGGGTGAAACTTTTTATTTCTCCAGCAGGGAACCTTTGGGTTCGAGTTACTCGGGTCATTAAAGACCATTTTCCCCATTACCACATATGACACGGAGTCAGCTGTTTTTGTCCGTATTTCTTTACAAAATCTTATTTTATTTCTGTTTTTTATACAAACCTAAGTTTTTTTTCGGAATATTGTAAAATGTGGAAGTAAGACCATAACAGGAGGCCGACGTACACAAAAAAATGGCTGTGTGTTTGTACAAATGATCTCCAACGCATTCTTTACTCAAGAAAGGGAGTTATGTCAAGTAAAGAAGCAAATATCACAGTAAGTGTCCCTTCTACCTTTTATCGTTATTTCTTTATATTTAACAGACTTTTAGGAAATAAATTAGAAACAATACTCCTACAATAATTGTATAAACCAATAAACCTTTTCTTTGTGTTGAAACATAAGGTTCTACAACAATCTTCTACCTTCAACATTATTCTATAGTTATTAGTTTAAACATTTATTTCAAAAACATACATTGTCCAGGTTATACCTGACGTGATAGCGAAACTCTATAAACGTGCTTTGGTTCATGTTTACCTTTGTGCTTATACTGGGACTCACTGGTTCAGAACAAGCAAATTAATTAACTTCTGAGAGTCCGGATACAGAACCAAATCTATTCTCACTTTCCATATGCTCACCTTATTAACGCTAATGCTCGAAATCGGCGACTTGGAAAATATTCGATTTACTTCGGTTCTTCAACAATGGTTAAAGAATTTGTAACGGTCCGCTCGAACCGGATTAAGATTCAAATTGGGCTAAATAATGCCGCATAAGGTCAAATTCAAATCGTATCAGCCGTGTTTCGGGCAGAAACGGATTTAATCGACTCGCTCTATAGTCAAAGCACTACTCTGGTTTATACAAAACCTACTGAACTTTGAAAATTAAAAATTAACGGAGGTTTGTAACTCTACAGGTCATAATAACCGCAGTCGTTTTCTCACAAAATTGTATGTACTCAGGGCGACCAAGATTCGATCCCTTTACCATCAGTGATGTTTCCCTCTTCAAATATTTACAGTTATGTAACATAAATTATTTGATGATGTGTTATTTTTTCTTCTTCAGCCTTCAGGCATGACAGGACTTATTCAAATTTAAGACCACGATCAAGTGCGGTTTTTTTAAAGGAGTTTTTGATTTAGATCTAGTCCATCTCTAAATTACTCCCTTCACCAATTTAATTCACTTAATCGCACGCTCTACCTTTTTCTTCGACTCTTTCTCATACTTTCATTCAACTATAAGAAACTTTTTTCACTGATTATACTTAAGAAATTATCTCTACGTAATTCCCATTCGCCCTATCAATTACTATCTCTTTTACTCTCTCCTCCCTCCCTCACTCACTCTCTCTCTCTCTCTCTCTCTCTCTCTCTCTCTCTCTCTCTCTCTCCCTTTCTATATTTATCCATCTATCTTTTTTCCTAACTATCTATTTATCTATCTGTCTATCCACCAATTTATCTATTTTTCTCTCATTCGCCCATGAATGTTTTTCTTTCACGCTTTATCATTCTCTCTATTGTTCTCATTATCCCGATTTGAAGTTGTGTTCTTTATACCGTTCTCATCCCTTAGGAGTGGCAGGACTTGGTCAATTGTAAACTTTACCCGACTGTGATTTTATTAACGAGTTCTTCGTTTAGACATCTCCCACCCCAACATTAAATAGAAGTGACTTCAAAAAAATTACACGTAGTCAACACTGAAGATGACGAATTGCCGACATACTGATTCAGCACAAGACTGAATGGTAACGACCTAATTACATATTCAGCACATTCTCAAAACTTGATTTAATTTTCTTACTGAGTTTTTTTAACAAGTGATGGCACATATAAGTTGGCATCTTGTATACTAGCATCAATTTTTTTTTCTAAAATGCAAATAGAAG